CTGTCTCTCTGTGCAGGTCTGCGGGCGGTCTTCTCTGAGCTCAGCAGTGTCTCCAGGGAGCAGCAGGTGGCGCTGTCAGAGCTCTTTAACAGAGTGACCTTTCTGCAGAGTTTCCTGTTGATGGAGTCTCACAGTCTGAGCTCCTGCTGCTACAACGCTGCTGCCCTCTGCACCTCCTTTCTAATCACCTCCACCCAGCGCTCCTCCAGAGCCAGGTAACTCCTCCCACCTCCACCAACAGCCAGGTAACACCTCCCACCTCATCCAACAGCCAGGTAACCCCTCCCACCTCCACCAACAGCCAGGTAACCCCTCCCACCTTATCCAACAGCCAGGTAACTCCTCCCACCTCATCCAACAACCAGGTAACCCCTCCCACCTCATCCAACAGCCAGGTAGCACCTCCCACCTCATCCAACAGCCAGGTAACCCTCCCACCTCCACCAACAGCCAGGTAACCCCTCCCACCTTATCCAACAGCCAGGTAACTCCTCCCACCTCATCCAACAACCAGGTAACCCTCCCACCTCCACAAACAGCCAGGTAACTCCTCCCACCTCCACCAACAGCCAGGTAACACCTCCCACCTCATCCAACAGCCAGGTAACTCCTCCCACCTCATCCAACAGCCAGGTAACTCCTCCCACCTCATCCAACAGCCAGGTAACTCCTCCCACCTCATCCAACAGCCAGGTAACCCCTCCCACCTCATCCAACAGCCAGGTAACTCCCTCCCACCTCATCCAACAGCCAGGTAACTCCTCCCACCTCATCCAACAGCCAGGTAACTCCTCCCACCTCCACCAACAGCCAGGCAACCCCTCCCACCTTATCCAACAGCCAGGTAACTCCTCCTACCTCCACCAACAGCCAGGTAACACCTCCCACCTCATCGAACAGCCAGGTAACACCTCCCACCTTATCCAACAGCCAGATAACACCTCCCACCTCCACCAACAGCCAGGCAACTCCTCCCACCTTATCCAACAGCCAGGTAACACCTCCCACCTCATCCAACAGCCAGGTAACCCCTCCCACCTTATCCAACAGCCAGGTAACTCCTCCTACCTCCACCAACAGCCAGGTAACACCTCCCACCTCCACCAACAGCCAGGTAACACCTCCCACCTCATCGAACAGCCAGGTAACACCTCCCACCATCCAACAACCAGGTAACCCTCCCACCGTCACCAACAGCCAGGTAACACCTCCCACCTCCCCAACAGGTAACCCTCCCACCTCATCCAACAGCCAGATAACACCTCCCACCTCCACCAACAGCCAGGCAACTCCTCCCACCTTATCCAACAGCCAGTAACCCTCCCACCTCATCCAACAGCCAGGTAACCCTCCCACCTTATCCAACAGCCAGGTAACTCCTCCTACCTCCACCAACAGCCAGGTAACACCTCCCACCTCCACCAACAGCCAGGTAACACCTCCCACCTCATCGAACAGCCAGGTAACACCTCCCACCTTATCCAACAGCCAGGTAACCCCTCCCACCTCATCCAACAGCCAGATAACACCTCCCACCTCCACCAACAGCCAGGCAACTCCTCCCACCTTATCCAACAGCCAGGTAACACCTCCCACCTCATCCAAACAACCGGTAACCCTCCCACCTCATCCAACAGCCAGGTAGCACCTCCACCTCCATCAACAGCCAGGTAACCCTCCCACCTCCAACAGCCAGGTAACCCCTCGCCACTCTCGCAACAGCCAGGTAACCCCTCCCACCTCTCCAGAGCCAGGTAACCTTCCCCACCAACAGCCAGGTAACCCCTCCCACCTCATCCAACAGCCAGGTAACCCTCCCACCTCCACCAACAGCCAGGTAACCCTCCCACCTCCGCCAACAGCCAGGTAACCCTCCCACCTCCGCCAACAGCCAGGTAACCCTCCCACCTCCACCAACAGCCAGGTAACCCCTCCCACCTCATCCAACAGCCAGGTAACTCTCCCACCTCCACCAACAGCCAGGCAAACCCCTCCCCCTCCACCAACAGCCAGGTAACCCCTCCCACCTCATCCAACAGCCAGATAACACTCCCACTCCACCAACAGCCAGGCAACTCCTCCCACCTTATCCAACAGCCAGGTACACCCTCCCACCTCATCCAACAACCAGGTAACCCCTCCCACCTCCACCAACAGCCAGGTAACCCCTCCCACCTCCGCCAACAGCCAGGTAACCCCTCCCACCTCCACCAACAGCCAGGTAACCCTTCCCACCTCCGCCAACAGCCAGGTAACCCCTCCCACCTCCGCCAACAGCCAGGTAACCCCGCCTTCCTCCACCAACAGCCAGGTAACCCCTCCCACCTCATCCAACAGCCAGGTAACTCCTCCCACCTCCACCAACAGCCAGGCAACCCCTCCCACCTCCACCAACAGCCAGGTAACCCCTCCCACCTCATCCAACAGCCAGATAACACCTCCCACCTCCACCAACAGCCAGGCAACTCCTCCCACCTTATCCAACAGCCAGGTAACACCTCCCACCTCATCCAACACCAGGTAACCCCTCCCACCTCCACCAACAGCCAGGTAACACCTCCCACCTCATCCAACAGCCAGGTAACCCTCCCACCTCCACCAACAGCCAGGTAACACCTCCCACCTCATCCAACAACCAGGTAACCCCTCCCACCTCCACCAACAGCCAGGTAACCCCTCCCACCTCCGCCAACAGCCAGGTAACCCCTCCCACCTCATCCAACAACCAGGTAACCCTCCCACCTCATCCAACAACCAGGTAACCCCTCCCACCTCCACCAACAGCCAGGTAACCCTCCCACCTCATCCAACAACCAGGTAACCCTCCCACCTCCACCAACAGCCAGGTAACCCTCCCACCTCATCCAACAACCAGGTAACCCCTCCCACCTCATCCAACAGCCAGGTAACCCTCCCACCTCCACCAACAGCCAGGTAACCCCTCCCACCTCCACCAACAGCCAGGTAACACCTCCCACCTCATCCAACAGCCAGGTAACCCCTCCCACCTCCACCAACAGCCAGGTAACCCCTCCCACCTCCGCCAACAGCCAGGTAACCCCTCCCACCTCATCCAACAGCCAGGTAACCCCTCCCACCTCCACCAACAGCCAGGTAACCCCTCCCACCTCCGCCAACAGCCAGGTAACCCCTCCCACCTCCACAACAGCCAGGTAACCCCTCCCACCTCCGCCAACAGCCAGGTAACCCCGCCTTCCTCTGACAACAGGCAGAGCAGGCACTGCTCTTTTTCTATGGCTGGCCGATGGCTGCTGCAAAAGCTGCAATCACCTGTGTCCTGCATTGTTGTGTTAGCATGCTAATGTTAGCGCTCTTTAGTTAGCTCGTAGCTTCACATTGTTGTGTTAGTATGCTAATGTTAGCGCTCTTTAGTTAGCTCATAGCTTCACATTGTTGTGTTAGCATGCTAATGTTAGCGCTCTTTAGTTAGCTCATAGCTTCACATTGTTGTGTTAGCATGCTAATGTTAGCGCTCTTTAGTTAGCTCGTAGCTTCACATTGTTGTGTTAGCATGCTAATGTTAGCGCTCTTTAGTTAGCTCGTAGCTTCACATTGTTGTGTTAGCATGCTAATGTTAGCGCTCTTTAGTTAGCTCGTAGCTTCACATTTCATGTAAACTGACACAGAATGAGCGTGATCTAAAAACTCTTACTAACATCCAAATAATCAGTGAGTATGTTCTTCTTCTTCTCTCTAGTTCTTGACTAAAACAGCTTTTATACACAAGGGGAGGAGCCGGCCGTCCCGTCCATGTAAACACGGCTCTGACAACAACACAGCCAGCGGGACTCGAGCTTCTCCCTCATTGTAGACAGTCAGGACTCAGAGACACGTTTACACAGGACACACTTTATGATTTATTTATGTATTGAATGTCATAATTAAAAATTCATCCACTTATTATAAAGTGTGTGTGTTTGTGCAGGCTGGCACTGTTGAGTTTGGTGTGTCTAAATTTCTACCTCGAGAGGAAGATCTACCAGTTTGTGATCAACTCTGATCATCCAGAACACACACACATGGTCAGTATCACACACACACACACACACACACACAGGAAGTGTAGAACAGCTGATATGTTGTCCTCAGAGATAAAATGCCAACGTCATACACACTCAGAAATGTTTCCTGTGACTTTCCGTTGTGTGTTATCGGTCACTGTGTGTGTGTGTGTGTGTGTGTGTGTGTGTGTGTAGGAGCTGGTCAGTGTGTATGTGAGTGTGTTGCGGCGGGCCATGGTGTGTGTGGGTTTCTGTGTTCTGCTGGCTGTGTGTGTGCGGCACAGAGACCCGGTGCAGCAGAGTCTGCAGGTGCTGCAGCAGCTCAGAGAGACTCAGAGGAGCCTGCAGGAGGCGCTGCAGCACGCAGGTGAGTCAGCTGACAGGAAGAGGGCGTGGCCAACATGATGTCAGTCAACACAGATTTGAATTCTCTAATTTGGTTTTTTCTTTCACATCGTATGGCCTTTTAACACCTGAAGTGACCATATTTGGACAAGAGGGCGGGGCTGGAGAGGAGCTTCTCCCTAATGTCCAAATATGGTCATTTCCTGAGCTGACTAATTGGGTCTGTCTGTCTGCAGAGGGTCTGGGGGAGCAACAGAAGAAGAATCAGTCCGATGTGAAGGTGAGACCTGAAGCATCACGTTTCACTGCTCCGTCATCATTCACTTCCTGTGATGTCACAGAGGTCGAGTGAACTTCCTGTCTCTCATGGTTCTTTTGTCATGTGACCAATAAAAATCTTTTCCAGAGGAGGTCAGAGAGCAGAAGAAGAGAGGGGACGCCGAGGAGGAGGGAGGAGAAAATAAGAGAAGAAGAAGAAGAGGAGAGCACGCTGGTTTCTCCAACCACAGATAGCTCAGACCTGTCTTACCTCTCACTCCCCGGTCAGTACCTGTCTCACTCTTCAGCTAGTACCTGTCTCACCCTTTAATCTTTCCCTCTCTCTTTGGACCTGTCTCACCTCTCTCTGTGTAGACCTGTTTCACTTCTCTGTGTGGACCTGTCTCACCTTTCTGTGTAGACCTGTCTCACCTCTCTGTTTGGACCTGTCTCACCTCTGTGTGGACCTGTCTCACCTCTCTCTTTGGACCTGTCTCACCTCTCTCTGTGTAGACCTGTCTCACATCTCTGTGTAGACCTGTCTCACATCTCTGTGTGGACCTGTCTCACCTTTCTGTGTAGACCTGTCTCACCTCTCTGTTTGGACCTGTCTCACCTGTGTGTGGACCTGTCTCACCTCTCTCTTTGGACCTGTCTCACCTCACTGTGTGGTCCTGTGGACCTGTCTCACCTCACTGTGTGGTCCTGTGGACCTGTCTCACCTCTCTGTGTAGACCTGTCTTGCCTCTCTGTGTGGACCTGTCTCACCTCTCTGTGTAGACCTGTCTCACCTCTCTCTCTGTAGACCTGTCTTGCCTCTCTGTGTGGACCTGTCTCACCTCTCTCTCTGTAGACCTGTCTCACCTCTCTGTGTAGACCTGTCTCACCTCTCTCTCTGTAGACCTGTCTCACCTCTCTCTCTGTAGACCTGTCTCACCTCTCTGTGTAGACCTGTCTCACCTCTCTCTCTCTCTGTAGACCTGTCTCACCTCTCTGTGTAGACCTGTCTCACCTCTCTGTGTGGACCTGTCTCACCTCACAGATTGGAGTGTGAACAGTCTCCTCAGCAGCACGTTGAACTGCACGGACGCTGACATCACTCTGCAGCCATATATTACCCAGAATGCCTCTGTGCAGGGTTCCATTACCCAGAAGGCCTCAGTGAGTCCCAGCAGGCGTCCTCGTCGCTCTTCCTCCTCCTCCTCCTCCTCCTCTGCTCTTCTGGTATACAGCGTGCTGGTGGAGGACAAAAAGGTGAGTCTGAAGGGTCTCATGTCCGTGTGGTTCTTAAATGTCTCATTAGTGATAAAGTGTTTCTAAATAAACCAGGAAGTAATCTGAAGCACTGACCTCTGCTCTCTCCTCTGTTTTTAATCATCATCACCTTCAACATCATCGTCACTGCGTCCTGATTGGTCAGCCACGTTACAGCCTGAGGAGCAGAAGATCAGAGACACACTGATCTTCTCACCGACTTCATGTAGGACGTTTAACATTTTTAACACAAAAGTTTTTCAATAAACAGATTTTTATAAATTAAATAGAAGAATGTGTCGATCATTTTCTATAAGAATAAAAACAAACTGATCTGAGATGTTAGTCTGTTTACCTGCTGCAGACGTTACAGTCTGTTTACCTGCTGCAGACGTTACAGTCTGTTTACCTGCTGCAGACGTTACAGTCTGTTTACCTGCTGCAGACGTTACAGTCTGTTTACGTGCTGCAGACGTTACAGTCTGTTTACCTGCTGCAGACGTTACAGTCTGTTTACCTGCTGCAGACGTTAGTCTGTTTACCTGCTGCAGACGTTACAGTCTGTTTACCTGCTGCAGACGTTACAGTCTGTTTACCTGCTGCAGACGTTACAGTCTGTTTACCTGCTGCAGACGTTACAGTCTGTTTACCTGCTGCAGACGTTACAGTCTGTTTACCTGCTGCAGACGTTACAGTCTGTTTACCCGCTGCAGACGTTAGTCTGTTTACCTGCTGCAGACGTTACAGTCTGTTTACCTGCTGCAGACGTTACAGTCTGTTTACCTGCTGCAGACGTTACAGTCTGTTTACCCGCTGCAGACGTTAGTCTGTTTACCTGCTGCAGACGTTACAGCCTGTTTACCTGCTGCAGACGTTACAGTCTGTTTACCTGCTGCAGACGTTACAGTCTGTTTACCTGCTGCAGACGTTACAGTCTGTTTACCTGCTGCAGACGTTACAGCCTGTTTACCTGCTGCAGACGTTACAGACTGTTTACCCGCTGCAGACGTTACAGTCTGTTTACCCGCTGCAGACGTTACAGTCTGTTTACCCGCTGCAGACGTTACAGACTGTTTACCCGCTGCAGACGTTACAGTCTGTTTACCCGCTGCAGACGTTACAGCCTGTTTACCCGCTGCAGACGTTACAGCCTGTTTACCCGCTGCAGACGTTACAGTCTGTTTACCCGCTGCAGACGTTACAGCCTGTTTACCCGCTGCAGACGTTACAGTCTGTTTACGTGCTGCAGACGTTACAGTCTGTTTACCCGCTGCAGACGTTACAGACTGTTTACCTGCTGCAGACGTTAGTCTGTTTACCTGCTGCAGACGTTACAGCCTGTTTACCCGCTGCAGACGTTACAGCCTGTTTACCCGCTGCAGACATTACAGTCTGTTTACCCGCTGCAGACGTTACAGTCTGTTTACCCGCTGCAGACGTTACAGCCTGTTTACCCGCTGCAGACGTTACAGTCTGTTTACCCGCTGCAGACGTTACAGTCTGTTTACCCGCTGCAGACGTTACAGTCTGTTTACCGCTGCAGACGTTACAGTCTGTTTACCCGCTGCAGACGTTACAGCCTGTTTCCCCGCTGCAGACGTTACAGCCTGTTTACCCGCTGCAGACGTTACAGCCTGTTTACCCGCTGCAGACGTTACAGTCTGTTTACCTGCAGACGTTACAGTCTGTTTACCTGCTGCAGATGTTACAGCCTGTTTACCCGCTGCAGACGTTACAGTCTGTTTACCTGCAGACGTTACAGTCTGTTTACCTGCTGCAGATGTTACAGCCTGTTTACCCGCTGCAGACGTTACAGCCTGTTTACCCGCTGCAGACGTTACAGTCTGTTTACCTGCTGCAGACGTTACAGTCTGTTTCCCCGTTACAGTCTGTTTCCCCGCTGCAGACGTTACAGTCTGTTTACCTGCTGCAGACGTGTGGCCCAGGACTAAATTATTTGTATTTAGTTGAAATTCCAGATGTGTGGAGCTATAAATCACGTATCAGAGTGGGCGCCCCTGCTGGCCGAGACTGAACCTGCAGTTTTTAAAACAGTCAAAGTGAAGAAGTAGGAGCAGAAACAGTCGACCGTGAGGAAAAATAAAAACACTCCTGGAATTTCTCTCCAGTTTTTCTTTTGCTTCAAATTTCAGCCCCCAAAAGAAGGAGAGAAAATGAAAAACAGACCACAGAGGGAAGGGAGGGTGCAGGGGGGGGGGGATCAGATGTCTGGAGGAGGAGGAGGAGGAGGAGCTGTGGTCTCTGTCTGCAGCTCGGATCAGATTTTCACACAAAGCTTGACGCTGCTGAGAGAGAGAGAGACATGGCCGGGCGAGCGATTTGAGTGTTTTTACAGAGTGACAGTGGAATGAAAGAAGGAGAAAAGTCTGCAGAGGAGGTGAAACAGAAGCAGAAACAGAAGCAGGAGGAGCAGGAGGACGAGGAGTTGGATCAGGAGGACAGCTGAAGGAGTTAAAGCGTCTTGAGTTTTTTTGAGCTGAGTGTGCACATTCTGGATCTCGGCTGCTTCAGGAGGAAAGTTTGGGTTCGATGAAACGTGGCGGACTGCATCAGTTTGAGTCCGACGGGAGGAACCCTTCAGGACCTTCTGACCTGAGATCAGCGTGACCTCGTGTTTCATCTTTTTGAATCATGTGAGGCCGACTCTGTTGACGGACGGAGTGATGGAGAGAGAGGGATGGGTGAGGAGGGGGGAGGACTGACTCTTGAGTGAACTTTGACCTGCTGATGAACCCTGATTTCAAAACTTTCACAATAAGAGTGTCAGAGGAACACGACGATGGACTGACGCGGGGTGTGCTGTGGTGTAGTGTACCTGTGCAGGTGAGGGGATGCAGCTGAACCGACCTCGCAGCTCCCTGCTCGGGTTCAGCCTCCCCCCTCCTCCTCCTCCTCCTCCTCCTCCTCCCCCCCCTCCTTCCTCCTTCTCCAGTCAGTTCAGCACCCTGAGGTTCTCCTACCACCTCAGCCCCCCCACTCCACCGCAGCAACGCAGTGCCCCCCACAGGACAGGTAAGAGAACTGCAGCCTCTCTATCTTTTTTTTTCTTTTTTTTCTAATACTTTATTGCAGGCTGTTTTACAAGTTGTCATATTTCATTACATATTTTGTTCATCCTGGCACATTTTTATATATAATTTTTTAAACATACAAGAATACACACAACATTTGAAATAAAATAACAATAAATAAAAATCCAAAGAAAAGGTACGAAGAGAAAAAAGATTTAGAAAGAGAAACTAATCTAGTGTCTATAATAGTCTGTCTTTTGTTTTTCTCTTTCACGTAGCCTGACGTGCACCTCTTCAAAAATCTTAACTATACATGTCAAACGATGCTTGCATCTGATTGGTCCGCTGGGTAGCATCAAATTTCCTGCCTTTACAACATTTCCAGTATCGCCGCCATATATCCAAAATTCTGCTGAAAGAAGCAAAGCCAGTTTAATAAAAACTGCTGCTCAGTATTCATCAGCTCTAACAACAACAACAAAAATATGTTCAGTTTCAGTCTCTATGGTTACCTGTACACAAACAAACAAGCACAGAATGTGGGAAATCGGAAACAAGTAGTATAACGACCGTAGAAGTCGCAGTGCCTACAAGTGTGGTCCAGTAGAGTCGATTGTCTGTCAACCGGAAGGTGATGTGTTCAATCCCCAGCTCCTGCAGCTACATGTCCGATGTGTCCTCGGGCACCCCGAGGTGCTCTGGGTTGTGAATGTGTTTGAATGGGGTTAGTGAATGCTGATGCAGACTCTACCATCTGTCTCTACCATCTACTGGAGCTTGTATATTTCTCTTCTAGTCTTCTGACTCCTCAAAGCTCTTTTACCCCACAGGTCACACCTACACACCCTGATGATAATATATACTTTATTAATCCTGCGAGGGGAAATTCAGCTTTACTCTGTTTAATGAGCATGAACACACACAAACAGGATCCTATGGACATGCACTAATGGAGAGATGTCAGAGTGCCCCCGGCGGGTGCTCCTGAGCTGGTGGTGGGGAGGGGGTTTGGTGCCTTGCTCAGGGGCACCTCGGTAGTACTCAGGAGGTGATCTGGCACCTCTCCAACTACCAGCCCAACTTCCATATTTGGTCCGCACCAGGACTTGAACCGGCGACCCTCTGGTTCCGAACCTAAGTCCCTACAGACTGAGCTACTGCCGCCCTAAGATGCTCATAGTGAAGGGAAAAAGATAATCTTAGATATAAAACAACGGAGCAGTGTTGGTCATACAGCAGCCGATGTCAAGAGACCGTTGTCATAGAGACAAGACGCACGTGCGGCGCTTTTATTCTCAGCGCTTTATTCAAGTATTTATAGCACGTAAAAACGCCAGGAGGAAACGGGACCCTTAATGGCCTAATCGGGCTGTAACTGTAGCTCCACTGAACCCGTGCATCAACAGAACGAGTGACTCGGAGCATCGGGCCCCGGAGCTCTCAGTCACCTGCAACACGAGAGCAAAGAAGAGCCAACCAAACAGGCCAGAGTGTCCACTGGGCCCTTTCCCATAATGCAACAATTCAGTATGGAGTGCGTGCTGTTCAGTAGACTGAACCCTCGTGGTCGTTCAGTGGTCATTGTTTGGCTCCACCTCAGTAATCTGAACATTTCAGCATGGATGCTAACTTCCTGGTTTTGAGCAGTATGGATCGGATGCATCATTTCAGAAAATTAGTTGTATTATAACACCCACAATGCAGTGCGAAGTTAACCGTCAAACGTCACTTCACGTGCACCTCCAAACAAGGACGAGGACGGAGGCCGTCGGCTCGGGTAAACGCGCCTTCCAAATGTTAAGTCGACGCGAGCTTCTACTCGTGTTTCTGGAAGGATCATCAGATTGTCCAGTTTCTGCTGGTGTATAAACGGTTTCTTTTGTTGTTTCTTGAGTTTCTACAGGTGTATAAACGGCGTTGGAGTTTCCACAGGTGTATCTAGAGGTCATATCAGAGATCTAGAGGTCATATCAGAGATCTAGAGGTCATATCTACTTTTGGATTTAGAGTCTCTGTGTTTCTGCTCAGTGTTGTTCAGACTTTTTACTGTTTCTGCTGCTTTTTCCAGAGTTAACAGTTTTTCTGTCGGGGGCGGACACATTTGTTGTTAATTATCCAGAGCCTTGTAGCTCCTCCCACTTCCTGTCTGCCCCGCCCCCCCGACAGGAAAAATAGAAATTAATACTTCTTTCAGCTGTGACATCAAACTGTTAACATCCTCCCCGACAGCTGAACTCTATTCAAAGTCACTTCAAGGCCA